TGGAACAATTTGCGCACGTTTCCAGCATTCTTTGCATCTTCCATTTCTTCGACCTTTCGGGTCCACCAAGCTTCTCGGTCTGCGCGGACACTCAGTTTCACCTGGCGTCGGATGATGCGCCGGGTGGAGTTGTGGTGGCGACCAGGTGGGATCTGTCGCCCGGTCTCCAGAAAAGACACGGTTCTATCAGAGATCCAATGCTTGGATGAGGTTGGCTGGGTTGTACCGCAAGCAGACGCTCCTGCTTTGAGTAACTCGTTGGGTATTTTTCCCAGTGGCCGTTTATATCCGACACCGTACTGTCCGGCAGGCATTCGGGGAGCTAGTTCTGATAGTTTCGTTTGATTTCTGGGTCAACTAGCTTCTCAGTGGCTAAGCGAGGTTTGCGCGATTTGCCGGAGAGGGACGAGTCCTGGGGTCCAAGTAGGGTGTCTGCCGCTGTATTCACGAACCAACACTCTCTGGCCTTCGCTGAATGAGCGCGCAGTTGCTCCATGATGCCGGTTGAACTGTTTCTCCACCTTACCCACAAAACAATTACTCGAGCGAACTGAACACACTGATAATCATAATGGTGGTGGAAAGTTGAGTGAGTATGGTGTAATGCTCTACCCTCCCTTCACCTAGCACGGCTACAATGGCTGTTGTCCTGGGGTCGTTGAGGTAACTATTTAGAGTGCAATGTTTCATTGTGGCCACTTCTGGAGTAGAAACAAAAACTTAGCAACTTATGAATGTCAGGGATTTACGTTTCGTCCGCCTGAAATTTCTGAACGTACCAGCTACTTAGATTATGGCCGTAAATAGAATATCCTATTTTGCACGTGGGATAAACTTTCAGTTACACGTCGGGTTGGTTGTGGGCAAGCGCTGAGGACCAACTCATCATTGGCGTGGCGATTCGACACATGGGATTTTGTGGTACAAATCTAGGTATCGCAACTAATCAGTCTATTTACAGTGGTGTGACATATATTGTTGCTCCCGAGTGTATCAAACGTCCTCAATCGGTATGGCAGTTTAACAACAAAAGGGAGTCCATGTGCATTCCAGTTGGTTTGCTTTACCTCAAACACCTGATTTACTAATGGCGCACCATTCATCTCCAACTGGGGAAATGGTGGTAATGTTCTCCGTGCTTCTCATTCATTTCGATTGGCATCAAAGGCACTCCCACATTAATCCTAACTTCGCTCCCAGGTTCTTCTGTCAACTTTCTTACTTTCCAGTCAGTCTACCGAATATTTCTATCCATCGGGGCCTTTCCATATTGCATACTCATACTCCAACTATAGCCTCCTTTTGCCGTGTCCCATATCCTAACTTCCAGTCAGTCCAAGAGCAGTATCTCCAGGTTTGCTAAACTTCCATACTTTCTGCACGTTTTACGGACCGCGTTGTATTTCTCCATGTACAGGTGAAAAATAGTGAACTGAAAGACCTTTTGCCCTATGGATTTGGGATTCACCACGCAGGAATGAGCCGTGTGGATCGTACTCTTGTTGAAGATTTGTTCGCTGATCGTCACATTCAAGTTTTGGTCTCCACTGCTACCCTTGCTTGGGGCGTTAATTTGCCAGCCCACACCGTAATTATCAAGGGGACTCAGGTAAGCATTCTGAATGTCTTGATGGGTAGCTCAATCAATGCAGTTTTCCAGAGTGCTACCTCTGAGTGCTTGAGTTTATTACTAGTATTTTTAAACCGACTAATTTCCCAAATCGGTTTTTGGCGGGTATCTGTTGTAGGTTTTAATCAATTGTATCAGCAACTCAGATTTACTGTTCACTGCATGGTCATTTCTGAAAAGATGGCCTATGGTGTATAAGATGACCTGTACATTTTGGTCGTGGCGCTCCCATTTGGGACCCAGGAAAAGAATCCCAGGAGTTTCTTCCGTGTTTATTTGAAATCAACCGTACTTTGTGCTTGAATGATGTCTCGCACTGCTCTCGTGTTGCTTCAGCTTAAATAACAACTCAAGATACGAACACCGATTGGACTCTATATACTGAGTTGAAACATTCGTCCAACTTTTTTATCTCGCTCCATTGTAAATGTTCTCCCTTTGCAGGCAGTTCCCTTGTTTTGTGAATTGGCCACAGCTGTACTCCCACAAGAGACCACTTTTATTAGGTCATTTGAGGTATAGTTTAATCGACTTCCCCTGTCTAGACTTGAGCAACCCTCGTGCTTCCTTCCGGTATGGCAGCTAGGCACCGAAAGCGTGCTACAGCTGAACGATTTTTATTTATTTATATTTTATCGAATAGTTTATTAAATACGTTTTCAGCCTGTTCCTTCAAATTTGTGCCACTATGTTTCAATTGTGTGCATACTAGATAGCTGTTTTTAAACCCACCATTGTTCATAACACTTTTATCTCGCATTCCCACAGATTTACAGCCCAGAAAAAGGTCGCTGGACTGAATTAGGTGCCTTAGATGTTATGCAGATGCTTGGACGTGCTGGTCGACCACAATATGATACAAAAGGTCAAGGGATTTTGATAACTAACCACACCGAACTTCAGTACTACCTCAGCTTGATGAACCAGCAACTGCCCATAGAAAGTCAGTTGGTTTCCCGTTTAGCTGACTTGCTGAATGCCGAAGTTGTTCTTGGCACTGTTTCCAGTATTCGTGAGGCTGTCACATGGCTGGGGTACACCTACTTATATATCCGCATGTTAAGGAACCCAAGTCTGTACGGTGTGCCTGAGGGAAGCGAAAAATCTGATCCTTGGTTAGAACAGTATCGACGAGACATCATTCATACAGCCGCAGTGGAACTGGACCGTTGTCAACTGATCCGATACGATCGAAGGACTGGCAGCCTCCAATCCACAGAACTTGGACGAATCGCTTCTCACTATTACTTGACTCACTCGACCGTCTTGTCTTACAATAAGCTTTTACGCCCCGGATTGGGTGAAATTGAATTGTTCCGTGTATTTGCTGCCAGTTCTGAATTCAAACATATGATGGTTCGGCAAGAAGAACGGTTTGAATTAGCCAAATTGCTTGAACGCGTACCGATTCCAGTGAAAGAATCAGCAGAAGAGCCGTCAGCCAAAGTCAACTGTCTTCTGCAGGCCTACATTTCTGGCCTGAAGTTAGAGGGATTTTCGTTGGCATCCGATATGGTGTACATCACCCAATCAGCTGTTCGACTGATTCGGGCTATTTTCGAAATAGTGCTCCATCGTGGTTGGGCTGAACTCGCCGACAATGCGTTGACTTTAGCCAAAATGATTGAGCGTCGTATGTGGGAATCCATGTGCCCGTTAAGGCAGTTCAAGAAATTACCAGAGGAAGTGATTCGTAAGCTAGAAAAGAAATCCATCCCATTCGATCGTCTCTACGACATGAATCACCATGAGTTGGGAGAGTTAGTTCGAACCCCCAAGCTGGGCAAACCGCTACACAAATACCTACACCAGTTGCCTCGTCTGGAAATGAGTGTGCATGTTCAGCCAATTACCAGGGCGGCTCTGCGCGTCGAATTGACCTTGACTCCTGATTTCAGTTGGGACGAGAAAACACATTCAACTAATCAAGCATTCTGGATCTTTGTGGAAGATGTCGACGGCAGTACTATCCTACACCACGAGTTCTTCGTGCTGAAGCAACGATATGCAACGGAGGAACACGTGCTTCGTTTTGTAGTCCCTATATTCGATCCACTACCGCCACATTACTACATTACAGCTGTATCGGATCGATGGATTGGTGGTGAAGTTACCCTCCCTGTTTCGTTTAGACACTTGATTTTGCCGGAGAAGACTGTCCCTCCGACTGAATTACTGGATTTGCAACCTCTACCGGTTACTGCACTGCGAAACAAAGAATTTGAAGCACTGTACGCGGATCGTGTTCGCGTATTCAATCCCATTCAAACTCAAGTGAGTCGTAGTTCAGTAACTTCGCCTACATTGAAGTACTGGGTGTTGTTTTCTTCATATGCTACGTTTTACCTGATAGTTTGTTTTACTTTATCATCATCGATGGCAGCACGCCGGCAGTAAATAATACCGTTCAACTGTCATAAAGTTATGAAGGAAAAGGGAGGGCTTGATCTAAAGGAGGGAACGGTCAGTACCGAGATGGCTACACTGTTGGTCAGCATTGATGTAAGAGTATTTGGGAATCGTGTGAGGTGAGACGCCGGCATTGGGACTGACCCGACGCCTTTGCGAACCTCATCGAACGTGGGCACATTATATGACAGCAGATAAACTTCAACTAGGTAATCCGGCTGAGGAGTAACTGCTTGCTCGCAACTGGAATCGATTTCAACCCGTGTGCTGTTGGACTCAGCCACGTGCGAGGAGGATCCTTCGAAACCCAATCAGGAAGACATGAAGACCCTGCAGTAATCAGTTTGAGTGTGGCTACCTTCATTTCGCATTTTCATATCATGGTCTGTTCCCTGCAAACATTCCTTCGACAAGGATATGGACTGAAAAGCAATGTTTTCCTTGGCATGCAGCACTTTAGCACGTGTAGCACGTTCCTCAATCGCATTTATCCGATGAGCTTAATTTGCTGTTTTAATGACTATGCTTTATTATGCACTATTTCACGGCCAACATATGGTTGCCAGCTAATGCTCGCTTTGTCGCTAGGACATCGATGACCAAACGTTTGAACATGTTTGAGGGCCTCAGGTCTTAGGGGCAAAGTTCCGCAACAATATAGTGAAACGGTTTATGCAGCCGACAGCGACTGAATATTTGTTGGGTTGCATACAACCGAAGTAAACTCTCCCGCTTAACAGGCTCGTAGCTACTTAGACCAAGTCTAAATAGCCCACGTGTATGGCAAGCAAAATAGCAGTTTGGTTGATAACTTCCAGCTGGCCTCTGGTACCGGTCGGTAGCAGCATTCAACCAGTTTGTATGATGTATGCTTCCTTTGTCAGCTTTTCGGAATACTTCACGTACGTCCTAGTTGTACTATTGTCACCCTCGTATTTCAGGTTTTCAACTCGCTGTACAATTCTGATGAGAACGTAATTATTGCCGCTCCGACTGGCACTGGAAAGACCGTGTGTGCGGAACTAGCTATTTTCCGTCTAATCACTACCACGGCTGCATCAGGACCTTCGGAAGCGGGTAGTGGTTGTCAGGCATCTGGTTCGGGTATTTTTCGTTGCGTTTATGTCGTACCACATGCTGAACAAGTGGAACAACGCTACATGGACTGGTCTAGTCGATTCGGTGAGAAACTTGGGAAGCGTGTCGTTCGGCTTACTGGTGAAACTTCAGTGGATTTGAAATTGCTGGCTCGTGGTCAGGTAAGCCACTATGAGCATATGAATTTCATTTCCCAAATGTAAAGTAAAACATTCGAAGTGTGGGCATAGGTGGCTCGCCAGGTGGTGTACATAGTCTAGTGGGCCGTGCAGTTGTTCGGCTATACGATCCAGTGTGTGGTCGTTTACTTCAGTCGAGTTTGTTACTGAACGCATACTGTGACCCAGACAGCTTTTATCTCCAAATTATTGTCCTTGAGCATCATCAGTGCATGCGTGATTTCTCTTCGTGCTATTCATCGGCGCTTTTTCATTTTTGAACGTATCTTGACGACACACCAAACATACTGCTTAAATCAAAGTGTGGTACGTATTATATCCGAAGCAAGTCTGATGGAGAAAGCGGATTAGCAGTGCAGAGGTACGCCAAATGGTCTTAGAAAGAAAGAACGCTCTCGTGGCAGATGAATTACTCACGCTTCATAGGTTACGCTGGTTAAGTCGTGTACTCCGCCTCACGCGACCAGTTCCCGACCTAAAGCTGTCGCCTTGTCGTGGTGGTCGGGCTTCTGTGCTGCAATGATTCTGCGGGCTATACTGGCTGCAACTCAGTTCCTAAAGTTTCAACCATACCAGGAAGGCCAATGGGGAGCAACCTGACTAAGAACAGCGAGTCGCCATACTGCGAGTGGTCGCATTACGAGGCGGGCTGGAGATGAAGTCGGACTGTCCTTTGCGATAGATGTTTCCCCCAGGCGACCAGCATGTCTATATTTATGGAAGTAGTAATGCTGCCTTCCCCTGGGGAAGGATGCGTTAGAAAAGGTCGGCCCCAAAAACGGCACACTCCGATCGCCCTAAGGTTGACCGCGACCGCCGGCGCATTATCCAATACGGTCGAACTACTTTTTTAAACCAAAGAGTCCGGTGCTGCTCAAAAGGCAGCCACATCAGAAATGAGACAGCAATGTCCTACTCTCTGCCCCCTCTGGCCAGGCCGGCCCCCTACAGCCAAGTTAATCAGACCATTGAGTCATTGGCTCCGGGAAGGGTTCCTCAAGAAAGCCCTAACAACCACTGTCTCGCGGTCCAGACTTTTGAGTCAGAGGCTAGGACAGGGTCCCCGAACAAAACCCTACGTCCACCCACTGCCTTGTGAGTCAGAATGAGTCAACGGCTCAAGGTGAGGTACCTCAATTAAACTCCCTTCGTCTGCCTTGGCTAACGGGAGGTACCATTTGGCCTTGCAGCTCTTCCTCTTCATTCCCTTTCAAACCATCGTCCAATGGAGTGCGATCAACCCATCTGCTAACCCCGCTGCCACTATTCCATGTATCACCTGTCGCCCAGAATAATGAGCAAAACTAATCACTTACTAGCCTCAGTCGATCTGATCCCCCACTGCAACGTACTCTGCCCACTGCCCGTACTCTATGTCAAATTGGGCAACAGCCATCCCTTGCTGAAACCTTATTTTTCCTCTCTATCGGTGTATGTTGTATCTCCGGAGCACCAATACAAGACCCCATTCAGTTGTGCTCCTCAAGCCACTTAGGACGATCCCATATGTTCCACATCTCGCTCTTCGGTCATACCGTGATCCTTACACAATGGCTCACGGTATTTATGATGCCTTCAGCCCCAAGGCTGAAAGCCGGATCTCAGTAAACCGCGACTTTTGCGCCGTGTGGTTGTCTGGCTCCATCAGTATTAAAACGGGTCGATGTGGTAAACGGTGTTTGTTTGTGGTATAAGCAGACACCCCGACAGCTAGCAGTTCTAAGACTGAGAAAAACGAGTTTTATCAAGATCTGTCATGACCGCTTCGGTCGGACGTATATAGTTATCCTGGCGGGTGATATGAATGCCCAAATTAAACGACTATTTCCGGAAGTGGCATAGTTAGGTTGTCGATTTGGAGTCGATGCTGAGCCTACGGATAACGGAGAGTGGCTTCTTCAGTTGTAATCGTCTGTTCCTGGCCGGTACGAACTTCCAACACAAATGCACACAGCGAGCTACTTGGAGGCCAACTACCACAAGACAGTCGTGAACTCAATTGGACCAGATGGCTATCAGTTGCCGATGGAGAGCCTCACTTAAGGATAGTCGTTCCTTCTGGGGTACGCAACTTGACTCTGATCGTGTCATCGTACGGGCGCGCTTAACACTTCGCTTTCCGCCAGCCCTACGCGTGCCAAAAGAAAGCAGCTCCGTTCATCGTCTTCGACAAGTTTCAGTTGCTGAAGAGTATCGAGGTAATCTGGCTAGAAAGCTACTGGAAACGCACAGTCATGTGGATGGCGAAGATTGCTTGCTCGCTGATGGTCTCTCCTCGTATGGTGACCAAACGTTTGCAAGCCAATTGACAAGCTCGGCGTTCACGTCAACAGCCACCTGATCAACAACCAATACTTGGAGGATGAATGGGGGCGAGTTAAAAAAGCAATGCTCTCAGCTTTCAGAACTGTTTGTTCAGCTCATCTGACTCGACTCAATGAACACTGGATGTCTTCAAGATCAGCAGGTGTCATTGCTGCCAGATAGGCCATACCAGCAACTCGCGACTATGATGACGCACGCAGGTCCCTCAAACACCGGATGATCAGGTGATCGAAGAATGGTTAAGAACGCTGGTGGATTTTGAAGACCCAGGAGATGGAGAAGGCTTTCGTTGCAGCAAGAAGCGCGCCCTGTCTCAACTGATTCGATCAACGGGTCAAAAGAAGGCTGATGTTAGTGAGACAATATGCAAAAAAGACGGAATAGTAATTCACTCCCTCAATCGTCGTCTTGAGTGGCCGAGCTCTTCAAAGAACAGTTTGCCTGGTCTCCTTGAACACAACCGCTGGAAGAACCAATCGGGCCCGAATGAAACGGTGACACCAACCCACCATCATCAACCGAAATCCAGCATGAGATTTCAATCCTGGAGCGCGACAAGGCACCTAGCCCGGTTGGTCTGCACCCCACGCTATTCAAAGAAGTTTGGGAGGTCCTGGTGGACAATCTGACAACCATACTGTAGAAGATTTGGAACAAAAACAGAACACGAGCCGGATAGAGCCTCTGGACCGTCATCCCAGTTTTTTTTTAAAAGGTAGCAAGAAAGTCATGTGAAAACCATCGTGGTATCAGCCTGGTATCCGTCGCGTCTAAATGCTCTACGGCATTATTTTGCGCAGGTTGATGGATTACCGGGGGAGACAGATTCGTGAGAATCAAGCTGAGCTTCGCCCTGGTCGAGGATGCATCGACCATATCTTTACCTCGAGACAAATCCCTGAACAGCACCACTCATTCAGGCGTCCAACGGTGGTCGGTCTTTATGGATTTGAAGGCTGCTTTCGGTTCGGTTGATCGTCAAAAACTTTGGCAGTGTCTGGCTACGAAAGGTGTCCCTTCCAAATTTCTCTTCCTTATGAGGGCACTGTGGGTGCGTACGAGTATACAGGAAGCTCTCACCTGAGTTCACCACGTCCACTGGTGTAGGACACTGTCCTCTTTCCCCTTTCCTCTCTAACTTTGCTATTGATATGCTGCTCTAAATTCCTCTACTGTTTCTGAAATCTCGGGAGTCGAAATCTACCCAGGGCGTCCTCTCACAGACATTGAGTATGCAGACGATATTGCTGTCCGTGGTTCAGATCCTTCCCAAATGCAAACGATTTTAAATAACCTAAAGAACTCTGCCGCGTGGTTTGGCACTTCACACCTACAAAGTGTAGAGTGCTGCCACAAGTTTGGGTGGGATCAAACCCACGCCTCATGCTTGCAGGCCAACCAATCGACGTGATGGATAAACTTGTTTACCTGGGCAGCTATATAAGTTCTGGTGGACTGGCCGGGAACTAGATTACCTCTCCAATTGGAAAGACCAGATCATCTTTTGCCAACCTCCAATACCTATGGCGCTAACGTGACGTGAGCTTGTCTGTTGAGAGAGGAGTTTACACTGCAGTGGTGCGATCCATACTGCTTTATGGATCAGAGTCGTGGCCCCACGCGCGGAGGACATACGGAAGATGTCAGTGTTTGATCATCTGTGTCTCTGCAGCATTGGTCAGGTCTGGTGGAAACATCGTATTTCTAATGCTGAGGTAAGCCAGATGTTCTTGCGAAGAAGGAACTCTCCCGTGATAGATGAATTACCCACGCTTCATAGGTCGCGCTCGTTAGGACATGTACTTCGCATGCCATAATACCGTCTGCCTTACAGAGCTGTTTTCGCCCAGCCCTGTGCCGAGTGGAAGCGACCGGGAGGTGGAAATTGTATGACCGGGCAACGAAGTATGAAAACACTGACCAGTAAACTTGGTCGGATGAACAACTGCCGCGTCCCTGGATGGGAATCCCGGTGGTTACTGACATTGGCGAAAACGGCCCAATCGCGCAGTCAGTGGCGCTCGTGCACTAAAGCTATAGCCTTCAATGCGTAGCTACACAATTTTTGAACAAGCTGAAAATGCCTTCGCCTCCAAGGCTTGGTTGTATGTTTCACTCCCGTTTTCCGGTAATCGAAACTGCAGCAGCTCGAACCGATGTGCCTATGGCACACGGCTTATAGCTGATACATTGAAAGTGACTCCGCTTGCCAGAAGACCGCCTGCCTCACAGAACTCTTTTTGCCCACCACTGCTGAGTAGAAGCGACCGAATGGTGGGCAGGTGGAACTCGCAAAAGAAATCGCCGAGCTGTAACAACCCTCCTGTCCCACCCGAAGGAAGCGGGAGGGCTGAGGTACTGCCAGGTTGCCCAAGTTCAGACAGAAGTCTAGATGCAGAGACCGGGTTCGAACCATGGACTTTCCAGTCAGTGAATTCGCGCTCTAACCACTTGAGCCATTTCGCTCCCGGCAACGACCTGGCAACGAAGTACGAAGACACTGGCCAGTAAACGTAGTCGGTTAGGCAATTGCCGCCTCCCTGGATGAGGACTTGGGGACTCAACTCACAAGTGGTTAATGACATTGGCAGAAATGGCTTAATCGCGCAGTCAATGGCTCTTGTGCATCAAATCTAACCAGAGGTATCATCGCCTCTGAGGCTTGGCGAGGTCTTGGAGGCCTTGTCCCGTTGTTCCGGTGATTTAACCTGTAGCAGCTGTAACCAATATGCCTACGGCACACTGTTTATAGCTGATAAATTGAATTGAATTCAAGGTGTATTGGTTGATAGTTCGAGCACCTGTGAGGACAAAAGTCACATGCGACAAGCCAAGGATAACTAGAAAACTAGGTTGGAAATTGGCATTTGACAGTAAACATGAATGCCATTACAAATAATCCCAAGCTGAGGTGAAGTCTTTGGTATCAGTCGTTGTATTTTGTATGTTTTGTTGTATTTTGTCGTTGTATTTCAGCTGTTACCAAGCCTTTCGGTAGTCCAGGCTATTTTTTTAACGAAGTTCTGTCGTATTATTCGGCTGTAAGATTTAGTAGCGAAAATCCATGTTTCCATGTTTTCTAGTCAAAGTGAGAGACAGTCCAGTTCCCTGAAGTCCTCACAAGTCGGGATTCGTGTCCATTCCTGATTACCAGATATTCTAAAAATTAGAATGTTTCGGCATCTACCAATGCTCAGTTTCGTTTACATTTTATGCCGATATTGCAGATTATCGTTACTTCTCCAGAACACTGGGATGTTCTATCCAGACGTTGGAAGCAGCGCAAGAACGTGCAAAATGTTAACCTCTTCATCGTCGACAATTTGCACTTAGTGGGCTCAGAATGCGGTCCTGTGTTAGAAGTAGTGTGTTCACGAATGCGCTATATCAGCAGTCAATTAGACAATCCTATCCGTATTGTAGGCCTGTCTCACAGTTTGTTGAATGGCCGCGATATTGCCAGCTGGCTTGGTTGTTCATCCGGAGCCACTTACAACTTCCCCTCGGCCACCAGATCCGTACCGTTGGAGTTGAACATCGTACCTTTCAATATTCCTCATCAGGCATCGCGTTTGCTCGCTATGACCAAACCAGTATTTCAGTTGATGACACGCCTTGCCGTAACTCCAAGTCCATCTGGAAGTCTTCAACCCCTTCAGCGGAAGCCAACCCTTATTTACGTTCCAACGAGAAGACAGGCACAGCGCACGGCATTGGATTTGATTACCATGTTCGCAGCAGCCAGTTCATCATCCGGAGCAACATCAAAGTTCGTGCCGATATCTGGCCATTTAGAAGAAGCGTTATCACGAGCTGCGGATCAACTGGCGGATCATGCATTGGCAGAAGTCGTTCGACATGGTGGAGGTATAGCTTACCTACATGAGGCTGTTTCCAAACCCGATCGACGTCTGGTCGAAGTATTATTCGCCGCCGGAGCCTTGCACACTGTCCTGGTATCACGCGCCCTGACATGGTCATCGGCGTCGACCAGCCCCCTGCAGGCTTATTTAGTTATCATAATGGATACGCAAGACTATAATGGCAAGATTCACGCTTATGAGGACTACCCCGTCGCTGACCTGTTGGAAATGTTGGGTCATGCTAACAGACCCAATGTGGACTCGGATGCCAAGGCTGTTGTACTGTGCCAATCTGGAAAGCGCGATTTCCTCAAAAAATTCCTTCACGATCCTCTACCGGTGGAATCGCACTTGGACCATGCACTTCATGACCACTTCAACGCTGAAATTGTGACGAAAACCATCGAAAACAAGCAGGATGCGGTGGACTATTTGACTTGGACGTTCCTGTACCAAAGAATGACACAGAATCCAAATTACTATAACCTACAGGTAAGATATTGCTACCTGTACTCGGTCGTTATAGCAGAGTTTGTTTTGTGACTCGTTTGTTGTTCGTCGCGCCGCGACACTTAACTGGAGGAACCGAAACTCGTATCACCGAAATGTCGGGATCACACCTATGACCTCATCGCGACTTCGGGGTTGTGTTCGCACACCTGATGTCCGTTGGTGTCCACGATCGTGGTGCAATTCGGTCGCATCTTTGCTGAATTAACCAGCACTCGAACACTGCTCTGCAATTTGATGGTGCGCATATAAAATTCATACTGTCTGTGGTTGTTTCTTCACAGAGTGGTGGACCCGGTATTGTGTCATCCATGTCTGTTAAACTCAAAGTTGACTAAGAGGTGGTCTCTTCGGGTGTAGTGCTTTGTGGATTTTCGGGTTTTTGATTTTAAACGAATCAGGACCATGCATTGTGGTTCAATAAACCAGGCATATTGACAGTTCCCCATCCAACTATTCGCTGCTACCTACACCGACAGCATACCGTCTGTGTGTAGGCGCATACGTGCCGTGCGATATGGTCAGTCACTAATCAGTATTTTTAATTGACAAAATTGCTGCTACTGCCTTATTGTTTCAGACAGCGAAACCTATTAAGTCTCTGAAATAGGGTTTTAGAATGGTTTATGCCACCCGTACTCATCACAATTTTTACCCATTTTAATTGAAAGGCTGTGGGAAAACTTGTCACCACTTAAACGTTCAACTCCTGTTGGTCTGAAGATTATGTGAATAAGATTCTGTGGCGGAAATGGCCAGATTTTGCTGGTCCGAGAATCCAACAGCCAAGTTAGTTTCAATGATCTGCAGGCTAACGCCCAGCCCATTCCCACTAAATTGGCCGGTTCTCTGTTGATTTCGAATCGTTGATAACTTTGCACACCGCACAAGAGGTTAAGTCGTTTAGAACAAGCAAACTCTGGCGTTATTGTTGTCATTTGGACAGGAAAACTAAGAATTCGCCTGATCACCAGACAGCACCGTTTAAAAAAATAATCTTTCAGCTGTAACACCCTTTTGGTGCCCAGCTGCCATGCCACCCGAAGGAAGCGCGAGGGCTGGGATACTGCCAGGCTGTTCAAGCTTAGACAGGAGCAGTCTAGATGCAGAGACCGGGTTTGAACCATGAAACTTCCGGTCGGGAAATTCGCGCACTAGCCGCTAAACCATCTCGCCCCAGTAGCCTATATCGTGTGCTGAACAAGTTGAAATCATGTGCAATTCCCAAGTCAGAATTTTTACGGCTCCATAATTTTGTGGGTGCCTATAACCAATAGCGATGAATCACCAGCATCAACACTGTGTGTGTGGCTGTGTGGCCTTCTGTATATGAGCATCAAAGGGGAACTATTCCCGGTGTAGTGCTTTTCACTAAACATTAGTGAACAGACGAGGTGATAAAACCCGGTCACACGCTATTTCGGGCTGCCTCAGAGCTTGTGAAGTGAAGAGTCTTGTCCATTTTGATGAAATCTTCCATTCCGGCCCTTTCTACTTACCTTTAGGGAGTCACACATCGTCATCTCAGCGACCATTTGAGCGAACTGGTCGAAACCACCCTGGCGGATTTGGAACATTCGAAATGTATCTCGATCGACGATGGAATGGACTTGTGCCCACTCAATTTGGGCATGATTTCTGCATACTACTATATTCAGTACAATACCATCGGTAAGTTTCGTAGCTTCTGTAGTCCCTTTTTCCCGATTCCGCAGGAGGGTTCCACTTGATTGTAGAAATCCCCGAAAAAGGTTACCCACGGCAACCGAAACTTCAGATCGTAACATCTCGCTCAACTACGTTGTTTTGGATTGGAAATTTCTTTATTACACAAAACATGGCGCTCAATCTCTGTAGTACTCTCCGAGCCGAATTTGGTCCTGAACTCCTAATTTAAACCGATGAATTACGCTGTACGTACCAAGCACTATGTGATAATATCCTTTTCCCAAGAAGGCCATCACAGAAGAAGGTGACACTCCCCCTTCTCTGGTGGCGGCATTTTCACAATTATCAGTAGCTAAGTAGTGACTGATGGTATGTTGTTTTCGACTTTCGCGGAGTGTTATCTCTTCCCTTAGTGGCATTCCATTTTCAGTGGTGACCTTCCACGAGAACCGGTGTGTGAATAGTTAACTGGAGTGGCTTGCAGCTTCAGTTGTAATCTTCCAGTTCTCCCAGCTTCATTCTTACTTCCTCTAGTTGTTAGAGCGAATAATAGTTGAGTACGTGTGCATATTAGTCCGTCCAATAATAATTGTCCTCCAATTTCTCTAGTATTATTGGCTATTTTTTGGGAAGGGTAAATCCTATTTCGGAGGATGCACACAATCTTCCCTCCGTGGGACTTCCAGACACATCCACTAACCGTAATCTTTCAGGACGTGGCAATGCAGAATCGGCTGGTTGGAAATGGGACGATTCTCGTTACAATCAGGTTATATGTTTCCAGAATATATTAGCTGTTTAACCAAATCTTCGTTCGCACATTCTGCAATACACCGATCAATTAGTTCCGTACTTCTATCGTGCCCCTCAACCTGTTGTGGTCGATCACGGGAACAGCATTAGATTTCTGTTGAAATACTGTGCCGACCAGCTTGAAGACGAACAAATGTGCTCGTAGTGGAGTCATGCGTTGCTGAAATTGTGCAATTCCTCCCCAGAGTACGACTCGGGTTTGGATTTTCGCGATAGTGCCATAAGAACTGAACTCTTGGACTGATTTGACTGTGCGTCACAGGGAGAAAATTCCTGTTCGAACAGACTGGTAACTTTTTTTGCACGAAAATATTTATGAAATCCCTAGTGTCAGTGAAAGACGGTGATTTTCACAAGTGCAGCTGTGCAGCCTTTGTCTGCGCAATTTGTACCCCGTATCAAAATAGTCATGTTCAATTCGTCTCGTTGACTTTATTCCCTGGGTCAGCTTGCACGGATCGTTTGACCATATTCTACACTAGTAGCACCTTTTCACCTCTTTGTTTTCCTGCATTGTTCCGTAGACAGATAGTTCTAGTCGAGACTACCTAATCTCCTAATTAATTCGGTTAAAAGGAGTGACTTATATCTTAATGAAAGTTTATCTCACATCAGGGGTAATTGCCCCCTCTGTGTGAGAACCTGGATTTGTTACAGTAACAGGTCAGAATTCCACTTTTGTTCTTCCAATTTCGCTAAAACCAATTATGTACTAGAAATGTAGCCTAGTGATGATTGTGCATTATTTTGCACATGTGTGCGTCTCGGGCGCGTTTAACGAGTGATGTCTGCTACCACACTATTCTGTATACGCATTGGGGGTTTCAACTCTTTGGTTGTTACCAAGTGGTAATCGGGAATTATGGACCATCATTCAGACATGCAGATGGCTTTAGGACTGTCGCCTCCTGTCCTGTGCTGTCGGGTCTACGCGAAGTTAAGGGCGCCACTCTGGTTGTAAATGCGGCCTGGTTCAAGCAGCGTTTGGCATTACCTATCCTGTGCTGAACTCCATCGGTATAGAGTTCGATGTGACAGCCAAATTTCTTAGAAAATATCAACCTACTATGGAGTCCAAACTCTGGTTTATTGCTTTTGCTGATTGTTCCAAGCATAAAAATCATGCGTCAATCTTGTAGCTCATTTTTGCTTTAATTATTTTCCAACCGTGCCGTTGAGATACGTCGTCGGGAATAACTATATCTTGCAATTGTACAACTTCGAAGCACGCTTGTTGCTGCCAGCGTTGGTGACTGTAATGCCCCCAAGAGCAGTATAGTCTGTCTCTCTAATTTGCAATTCCCAGTGTAGTCATGGTGTCTTATAGGGTCGCCCCACCCTGTAGACAAAGGTTATTCTTGATTTTGATTATCACTTTGGATTATCTTGCTCCTTCCTTTTCAGAGCTCTTCAGCTTATCTCTAACTGGGAAAATGAAAATTCGTGGTTTACTAGACGTGATCAGCAATGCGTCAGAATTCGATAGTCTGCTGCCAGTGCGCCACCACGAGGATGCTCTGTTGAGACAGCTCTCCACCAAGGTCCCACAAAAACTAGCTCCTAAAGCCAAGTTCTCCAGCCCTCATGTCAAGGCGAACTTGTTACTCCAGGCGCATTTGTCACGTTTACAATTACCGATTGAGATGCAGTCGGACACTGATCGACTTCTTGGTTGTACGGTCCGTTTGATTCAGGTAGGCTTCGCACATCTCAGTGCACTAAGTCGGTTCGTATTTGGTTTCGGAGCTAAGATTTAAAATACTCTTCGCTGTTTCCTGTGTGTGCGAATGGAAACCAACTTGATCACTGTGCTGTAATCCGATGTTACTTGCGTCCTGCTTTCAACCAGCGGGAATTTCATAACGCTCTGCAGCCATATGTGAGGTCATGCTCTTGAACATGCTGTCAGTTAGCGCGCCATTGAAAATCCAAGGAGCGGTATTAGGGGTTGTGGAACATTTTACATATTTTGGAAATTGCATAATTTTCGGTTGTGATGTGACGGATGAGGTCAATGCATCGATCTCTCAGGCCCAGGTCGCGTTTGCTAACCGTTGCAAGGCACCGTATCCCTGAATCTCAGGCTGAAATACGGGCGGTTTCGTTGTATCTCTATGGGGCTTAGCAGCGCAACTGAGACGTCTTTAGGCCTACAATAACTGTAGCTCGTAGGAGTGAATCGGCAATAATACAATTAGAGAGCGAGTTGTGCAACAGGGACTGCAATCGAAGAATGTTTCCGGAAGCTGTTGTGGTTTAGCCAGGTTTTGCGTTTCCTGAAGAGAGTGCTGTTTTACGTGTCCATTTCATGATGGCACAAGCATAGCCTTTGACCTAACAGACGAGTATGAAATCGATCATGAAATGTCTGGGCATCGCCTCCAGGATGGTTCATAACGCTCTGCAGCCATATGTGAGGTCATGCTCTTGAACATGCTGTCAGTTAGCGCGCCATTGAAAATCCAAGGAGCGGTATTAGGGGTTGTGGAACATTTTACATATTTTGGAAATTGCATAATTTTCGGTTGTGATGTGACGGATGAGGTCAATGCATCGATCTCTCAGGCCCAGGTCGCGTTTGCTAACCGTTGCAAGGCACCGTATCCCTGAATCTCAGGCTGAAATACGGGCGGTTTCGTTGTATCTCTATGGGGCTTAGCAGCGCAACTGAGACGTCTTTAGGCCTACAATAACTGTAGCTCGTAGGAGTGAATCGGCAATAATACAATTAGAGAGCGAGTTGTGCAACAGGGACTGCAATCGAAGAATGTTTCCGGAAGCTGTTGTGGTTTAGCCAGGTTTTGCGTTTCCTGAAGAGAGTGCTGTTTTACGTGTCCATTTCATGATGGCACAAGCATAGCCTTTGACCTAACAGACGAGTATGAAATCGATCATGAAATGTCTGGGCATCGCCTTCCAGGATGGGATCCGCGTGACCCATCCTACCTGCAGATCATTGTCATGGGGTTCTAGTCAGTTTCTTTCTAGATTGTTCGAATGAGGTGTAGGCATCTAGAAATGGTTGTGGTAGGTTAGGACTAAACATCTTACCCATCCACTTCTATTTTTTCTTCACAGTAAAGCCTTCAAATAAACTTGGTTGTACGATAGCACAGCGTCATTGTTGAACACTGGTGTCACGTTATCGATGGTGAAAATGATGGGTGCCTTTGCCTGTCTTCATGGATCCATAGCTGACGTTCCAAGGCAGCTCCGTTTCTAAGACGTATTGTGTTGCCCGGTACACAAACAGAAGTTTAGAACCTCACGATTGTTGTACTACTTTTGCTGACTCACAGATGATTTGGGCTTCATATTCTTAGTGCTCATTACACTTGGAACTTTTCCACTGCTTCCCTAAGGCTTCCATTTTCTGTGTTCCTAGGCCTGTGTAGATGTCCTGTCGAGTAATAGTTGGCTTGGACCTGCTCTGGCCGCCATGGAATTGTCTCAAATGGTCACTCAGGCTGTGTGGCACAAGGACTCATATCTTCGTCAAATACCGCATTTCACAGCCGAACGTATTGCTAGGTGTCGCGAGTCGAAAATCGAGACGGTCTTCGACTTGATAGAGATGGAGGATGATGCGCGCAATAAACTTCTGTCGGATCTCACTCCGGCACAGCTGGCTGATGTTGCCAGGTTTTGCAATCGGTATCCCAACATCGAAATAAATTACGACGTCGTGAACTTCACAGGGATAAATCTTAGCAAAACATCAGTGAGAGCGTAAGTTTTCTCGTTTTTATGAACTCATCACTGTTTTTCGGATGTTCCCTCTCAGTGTTTTCCGGAATGAAGTGACTTTTGATCTTCCGGAACGTCCACTGTCAACTCTATTTTGTGTGGCTTAGCGGGATATACCCGATTTATAAGAAATCGACGAACTCTATTTATCTACGGCAGAATTCTTAAATTATCAATGGGTCACACTGCTCCGCAACTGTTGATTAGCACCGTCCTCAAAATTTAATCGGTTGAAGAAAGAACGCATGGTCCCGTTGTCTACTCCTTGCACACGTAAAACGATTGGAATCCTGTTACAAGTATTTGTTTGTCTTAGTTCGAGTCTTCTGAGATGTAGTCTTGTGCTCATCTGGTGGTTACTTCGACAAATTAGGACGTACCAGATGGAAGTGCTCTGGATGCTTCACCTCAGGGCGAAAGAATATTTTACTAGTCAACAGCCTGGCACACCAGGTCATTTCAATGGAAGACGGAATTCAGGAAATGAAAATGTGGCCCCTCGGATATTTACTAATTAGTGTGGGGAGAAACGTGTCCAAGGTGAGATAAGAATCAATGAGAAAATGATATGGAGAATGTTCCTTCTTGAGGGCTACAGTATGCTTGATAGGAAGAGTTTACCCTATCAAGCGCCATGGCATGTGGTTTTCATAGAATCTCTGCGTGCCCAATAATTCTTTTCATTCCATTCTTAAAAACATATGGATGAGGAAAGAAAACAGTTAAATTCATCCCTATCCATACATCGTCCTGCACTTGCATTGTGTTCCATTATTCGGTATATCCTGTCTATAATGCTTCAAAATATGACAAAATCAGTAAGTGCTGACCCTACAAAGTCATTCCTAGATGCGGATGTACTCATGTTGCGTCTTGGGTATCCTACAATGAAACACCCGTAACCCCCGAAGGCAGATTGTTGTCAATAATGGAAGGCGGTCTAACGTCAATTATTGAATACCATGTTTTGGGATCTGTGGTCCTAATTATGCTTGTTTTTTAATGGGAGGAATTGACTTCACTGTCTACTGGTTCATTTGGTCGGGATGGTGCAAGATGAATGAATGATTTTAAAAAAACCCTCAAACTCAGCTACCTGGTTTAGTCATTCATCAAGGCTTTAGGTCGAAATCTAGGTATCGGAAACTCCTGGTGAAATTAACTGTATGCTGATGCGAATAACTGTATTGAACCGCTGGTAACATTAGCTGCCAGTGTCGTTGAACGAGTGAGAGATCGTATTTCAGGAGACGTCGCTCGGTAGCTTTGTATGTGTGTGAAGTAACCCAATCATTTGACCAAGTGTTTCCTAATAAGTACGATGTGAATCAGCTAGGAAATTCAGAAACCCCCGACCTTGAGAAAAACTTACTTTAGACTTAGGGCATTCCAACGCGTTGCCACATATGTTTGTGAATGTTTTCCTAAACACCCAAAGGTGTATCAAAACTGTTGGACGATGTGGACAGGCGCAAGTGCCTTACATTCAGAGGTTCCGTGGCATGAGATATGATTTCACCAAACAGAATAGCATTATCGAAGGTGATTAACAGGTTCGTGAGTTGGGCACCTTAAAATTTACAAGGGCGAGCGGAATTTTGACCAGTTATGATGATGTAATGTGTATGTACAACGTCTCGTAACCGACCTGCCCCTATTGGTCCATTTTTCCATCCATTTGCCCTATTACAGTGGTGAGACCCTGACTGTGAACGTTTCGCTTGAACGAGAGGAGGATAATGTTGGTCCCGTTGTCGCGCCATTTTTCTCTCAGGTAGTCAATCCATTGACCAGTGCTGATTGGTTATATTTTAGTTTTATTGCTTTCGGCCTTCTCTCTGAGTAAACCGGCTAGATTTGAACATTCTGAAATTGAAACGAGTGCGGAAATCTACACAGGCCTATGTTGTTGCGCAAAAGGCGCCTACTACAACCTTCCGCTATCACATCTTCCGTAGAGCCGTTCTCCGAGCATCTGGAGGCTGTTTGTTTATTGTTTCAAACCTAGAGGGTCCGTTTCTTCCCACCTCCTACGTGTTTGAAGTGGACTTGCCTGTACGTATGCTTTAGAGCTGGGATGGCTCAGTGGTTAAGGTGCGAACCCTCTGATTAGGGTCTTGGTGGAAACCTTCATCGGTAGCTGAAGACACTTTCCAAGGTGGAAGTCTGTCACAGTCAAGGACGACCTGGTATCCGCTAGCTGATTCGCATATCCTAGGACTTATCTTCCGAATTTCAGTTACCACAACCCAAGGTAACATCCTTATCCCTTCTTTCGTTTTCGTTTATGGTTTTCTTGCTGAAGGACGACACGTGTCCAAATGACCTTAGCCTCGGTTCATTGCTTAAAGTACTGGCCAAACCACCACCATCCCAATTGCAAATAACAATAATGCATCTCGGCATTTAGCAGAAAAGCATCTAACTTGATTGTGGACCGCCGTCTTGATTCCCTGGTTCGTGTCCTCATTTGCTCACCTGAGCGATGTGTAATTGCTGACCACAATTGTGCAGTTAAGTGTGGTAACAGATGTGTATTCGTTATTCCTCTTTACTGATTATTAGACATTTGGGTGTATCTCGACGATTCTCGTCGGTCGTTGGTCTTGACGGAGGCATGTTGTTCATCCAGTTGTCCATCTGAACCATCAGTCCTGTTTCGTCCTGGAATTACTTGCCCCTACAAGCCCGTCGTCCGGACGACTCGGTGCACAGTACATCTAAGATACTAACCCACCTGAATTTCCAGTCATTCTCTGGATGTATCAGATTTTCTAATCTGATTTCAAGGGGGAACCGTTCACCTAACGAAGCTAATCTCGCAGATCTGCACCTTTTCAGGTGCTTTGAAAATTCAACATATTTAAATTCAACCGGAATTTATTCTCATGTCGCAGTTCATTCGGTTGGCCCTGGTTAGGTTGCTTTGTTTCCGTAACTTGGCATACGTGAGATTGTGAGGTTTCACTGTATTGGATTAAAGTTCACAATTTTTCATGTCTTTAGCCTCGTGAGGAAGGCTGGTGGTTGGTGATTGGGGAGCAGAGGACAAATTCGCTTGTTGCAATCAAGCGATTGTTTGTTTCGCAGTCAATGAAGATCCGGTTGGATTTGACTGCTCCAACCCATTCTGGACGGCACGAGTTCACCCTATTCTTCATGTGCGATGCGTATATGGGTTGTGATCAAGAGTACAAATTCACCATCGATGTGCGCGAAGGAGCGAGTGGTCGTTCTCATGCCGACTGAATGTTTTCAGGCTGTTTTGCCGCTTTACCAGCCCTTAATACATCCAAGACTTGTGCCCTTTTCAGCCTGTTGTACATTTGCTCTGTATGATAAAGAACTTCCATTCTCACCTCTTGGGAACACATTTCAAGTTCACCCTGGTTTGTTCGCTTCTGCAGTGTCGTCCCGCGCTGCCACATTAATGGCGGTCTTCCCCTTTATATCACCAAAACCATGCTACCGGCGAATAGTTAATCAAACGTGGGGCCAGTAAAAACCAAGCTTGGTTCCATAATTGTGGTTGTATTAGGCGTAATTTTAATGGTTGTGCATGTTTTGAAGCACGGGTCCAACTCCGAAGCCTCTGTTCGCTGTGTAAATCAACATTTTCGATCGATTCTATGATTCTCCGTTCAGACAAGCGTTCGACTAGGGGAAACCCGCTCATTTGCAAATTAAACTGCTTCTAACGGAGACTGCTTCATTTCCAGTTGGTGAGGTTCTACAACTGAATGTTCTGCAAAACGTCTGTCTCACGTTCCGTTTGGCACGATATATGGGATATCAAAGGAAGGATAATGTAATTTGCGAATGGGCTTATTTGTCGAGTTGCTTGCTACCTGATGTTCAAGTAGGACAATGTTGATGGAAGCTCGGATGGTACACCTAAGGGGTCCAAAGAAGGTCAAAAGTGGCAGTTGGCTGTCGAATAGTTTTTAGCAGGGACTAATATCAGGACGATCAGTCAGCACTGGTCATTGTTGAGCAATAACGTAGGTCGTATGCGTACTGTGTGTCTCGCACATCGATAAACTGTAGAATCGCGTAAAAAGGCGTTCGCGCACGCCACATGAAGAGGTGTGACGTGTGCGACCAGACAGGATTAGCCATTCTTTCTTGTAGGATGGAGAGTGCCACTACTTTTGTGTTCTCGATCACCCTAGTGCATAGTAGTTTACTTTAGTTTCGTTTTCTACACGGACACGGTTCACAAGCTAATGTGGTTGAGTGTTTGTAATTGCACCAGATCGTTATTTGACAACGCACGTGAAAAATCATCGCGGTTTATTTACATTTGCGATGGACCAATACTGCTTCCATAAATATGAATGCGCCATTTTCGCATTGTGTGGCAAACCGTACAAATTTATCTCCAGGCCGTCTCGTACCACAATTTCTCGAAGTACAGAGACCCTCCGACGTCCGCCTTATTTTAATGTTTCCGCTACCCTTGAAGCCTATTGAACTGGCGTCTAACCATTGTCTTCTGGATCACCGTAGAAGTAATGCCCGACATTCAAGGACGTCATGTAGTAGTAGACGTGACCAGTCACGAAGATACTGTATCTTACGTCGTTGTGACGTGTGGCACTCGTAGAGTGGCATACCAGGTTGGCCAATGGTTAGAAATCTGACGAAAACGGTCACGTGGTCCTCCAGATGGTGGTTAGAACATGTGACGCGACTTGTCCGGTAAAAACGGTAGGACACATGGACATCCCGGAAACCACCACTGCATTCGGTCGGTTTTTTAACAACAGCTCTGGCTGGGGGCACGAATCTTGTTCTCATGTAGGTGTAGTTCCCATGGCAGTATCCCATTCCACGCAAACATGGCATGTGGCGTTTGATCACTGCACGAATGCGCAAGCCTCGGGACACGTTCGCTAATTAGAGACACCTGTGGAGCAAGTGGTGTCCCTGAATCCCAAGGAATATGTGTATCAGATAACAATACGGGCCGCTTTTCTGTATGGCCTGTCCGAGTGGGGGTAACTGTGACGTTTTTATTTGTTGGACAATCGTCTGCTAACCAGAGGTTGTTCGGTTTGGTGTCGGCGATTTCCTAACGAGGTAAGTAGAGAGCAAGTGTTCGGCTATGCAGGGGGACTTCGATCGAACAATCTGTCCAGTAACAGCAGCTTCGTTAGTTAGATCATGTACTGCGCGTGCCGAACCATCATTCGCCCAAGAGTGCTGCTATCCGTGTAGAATTCAGAGTAGCGAAAGCAGAGAGGTGGCTAACCCTTGACAGGTAAGAGGGATATGAAAGAGATCCCAAAGTGTCTGGGTCCTGTAGGTGCTACCCGCATTCTATGATGGGGGCCGCGTGTTCCTTACTGATCCTCGTTTAAGACGCTTGAACGGTGCTCTTCCTGTCAGTTTCTAGCAAGATTGCCTGAATGAGTGTCTGGAGGTGGATACACGTCGGAATAATTGTAGTAAGGTAGCATTAATTCCTCTCCCCGCTCAATGTTTCCTTTACTACACAATAAGACCCAAATAAATGATTGTATTGCACGAAGCGCCATTGTTGAACACTGATGCAATGCTCTCGGTGATGGGTAGCACGTATGTCCGTGAAGAAAGTGTCTCAGCAGACTCCCAATTGTCCAGGCGGCGTAAAAGGGCAGACGGTATCGGACATATTTGTCGTACAAAACCTGGAAACATGCTCGTACTCACAGTAATAAATGGTGGTGTGAGATGGCTCCTGGGTCTACTTAGACCAAAACGTACTGGACGGCCGGTGCCTCGTGTGCTGCTTTTTATTAGCAAATGCGGATTGTGGGACATGCCGCTTGCTCCACAGGTGTCTCGAATTCGCGAATGTGTCCCGGGACTTGCATATTCGCACGTTAGTCTCATTTCTCACTAGCTTCAAAACTACCACTTCCAACATTTTAAACGCTCCATAACTTCGGATACATCGACTTGGCTCGCATGTGGTGTGTTCAGGTACTGGAGTCCGGGTACATTAGTCTGTAGGTTGTGGGTACAGCGTTCATACGAAGGAACGCTATTACTCTAGCCGGTTCATCTTCGCCTTCCCTTATTCCACGGCGAGAACGATGTCGTCTCCTGCATCTGAGGACGGACCCGTCAAAAGATTTTAATGCGCTTTTGAAATCCAGGAACAGGGCCAATTCTATGCGTGACTTTCGAGCACCTTAAGGAGTGTGCAGACTTGTCCAACGCAACCCCCACCGGGTCGGAATCCTGCCTGCTACTCTCCAGTCAGTGTTTGACATACCGCCATAAGACGACAAAGCACATGTGATGCCTGGTGTCTCATTACGACCGGGGTCAAGCTGACCCCCCCTGTGGTTACCGCATTCATACGGGTCCTTTTTGGAAGGTGGACACCATGTCCGAATTGCCTCGATTATCTAGACCCATCTCTTCTCAGGTGCACGCAAACAAATGAAGCGAACGCTGCCTGAGCACTTCAACGTCACATTTGATCAGCGCGAGTGGAAGGTGGTCCTGTGCAGGACTAGATTGCGCCTGAAAGATCATACGCAGTCATAAACCCCCAAGGCCGCAGGGGGTTCCTTATACACAGGAGCAAGTGTTTTCCAGATTAGCTGTCAGCGAGTCCTTTCAGACTACAAAAATTTCCATAGGCTACTCCGGACACATAGAAACGTACACTTTTGAGCAACTCATGTATTCCGGTATGTTCGGATATTTCTATTGTAATCTGATTTAACCACAAGTCAAACCCAAGCAAATGATTAGTACAACTATAGTCACGTTGGAAGATTTAGCAGCTAGCAGCATGTGATCACCAATATACCAAACGCAAAAGGCCTATTTCATTAACGAAAACGCCAAGCAACACCGCCCGTAACTTGCGGAACCATCGGGAAATGTCCAACGCTTTGGGTTTTCGCACGTGTGGGCCGCCGGTCGAACATAGAACCAGTTGCTCGCCCTCCATTATCAAATCCTCTTCCCACGAATAAACAACATGTCCTATAGCGGTTACTTTTCATCTTATTTAGAATGGCACTCGTGAAATGCAGATCTAGCAGGGGATAATATAAATAGGTTTACCTCAACTCGTAGGGAACGTGCTGATTGAGGAGTGATCGGGTCGTTACAGCCTGAGCGCGGCAGGCAACAACATAAAGAGAAAGAAGGTACAACCAACGGGGCATGCTTACTACGTGAAAAGTCATCGCAATAATGATAACCGAAAAAACTAGGTCCGACTAGTTCAAAGATGAAGCCGGCTGATATGAGCAAAAAGTAAGGACCGTTGCTGGCCATGGGCGGTTGAGTAAATGGCCAGTCACAACAAGCAAAAATGGAGATGGAATAATTTGAAGTAGAAGCAAATGGCAAGTTTTGCCTCGAAAATATGGTTTAACTCGGAATTAAGTAGACTCACTCCACCGTTGGAGGGAAATCAGTGCAAGGGATTGATTCGACGGGGAGATAGTGCTAATGCATAGGGCCAAACGAACACCGCATATGAAACTGAACTTGTTGAAGATGCAAACCAAAATTGCAGAAGAAAACGAGTTTGGTTAAATCCGAACGAAAGCTTTATCTGGTTAGGATGAACTCGCCCCAGAGGCTGTTGGGGTCAGGTGGAAAATTTGTTAGTAGTTGCAATTAAAGACCCGAGTGAGAGAGAGGTTGCGGTCGAGATTCTGATGAGAATAGTTGCGGTAGTGCCAGCATACGGTGTGTGGCATGCCATTATTGCACTGGCATACTTCGGCTTACGGACAGCCCCGTAACGGTCGTCAAGAATGCCTCAATCGGAGAGGGGATACTTCCGTGGCAGGCAGCTGATCTGGGTAAGCGGGAAGACTGATACGGATGGAGTCAGACCGATGCTGGGTCACGGGTAATTTCCCCCTTATTTGAAGGACCATATGAGTGTAGACGGAGACCAGCTAGAATGAATGAATAACGGTTCTACGGGGTGTTTAGGCAACTATAGCCGAAGTTTGGATCTTGAGAACAGGGGGAAGGAACTAGATTAGGGAAATCAGTGCAAGGGATTGATTCGACGGGGAGATAGTGCTAATGCATAGGGCCAAACGAACACCGCATATGAAACTGAACTTGTTGAAGATGCAAACCAAAATTGCAGAAGAAAACGAGTTTGGTTAAATCCGAACGAAAGCTTTATCTGGTTAGGATGAACTCGCCCCAGAGGCTGTTGGGGTCAGGTGGAAAATTTGTTAGTAGTTGCAATTAAAGACCCGAGTGAGAGAGAGGTTGCGGTCGAGATTCTGATGAGAATAGTTGCGGTAGTGCCAGCATACGGTGTGTGGCATGCCATTATTGCACTGGCATACTTCGGCTTACGGACAGCCCCGTAACGGTCGTCAAGAATGCCTCAATCGGAGAGGGGATACGCGTTTCCGTGGCAGCTGATCTGGGTAAGCGGGAAGACTGATACGGATGGAGTCAGACCGATGCTGGG